CTTTAACTCTTTATCAACATGAGCCTATTATCGCAATGCTTGTAAGCAATATATCTTCGGTTCATTGAATGCTATGAGGACAAAAATACCACCATTCGATTCAGTGTGACTAGATGTCCTCACTCATAGCAATAGTTTTAGTCATTGGCAACATTATAGCGATTTATGAGCTTTAAAAGTAAAGTGAGATCGAATACGATCAAATTATGCATTTTACCAACAAATTATAAAAACATAAACATACCTTTCGCCAAATATAACTTCGGCCCCTTGAAACGTATGCTCATTGTGATATTCCCGATGAATTAATCATTTAAAATGCCATGTATAATGTTATTTCCAAGCTTCTATCCTTAAAGGGTGACTTTTAGTGCCGAATTTTACATTTCTGCTCCGAATTTGCGATAATCCCAACTGGAAATATGACGAAAACTCGTCAAAACAATGCTACGCTTGTATCACGTGACTCTGGAAATGCCAGAAATGGATTCTACAGGTCAAAGTGCACCCATACGCGTGAGTTTGAAGTCATCCCGGCTAAAGGGAGCTCCTTATTGGCCAAGTATTACGTAATACAAGCGCGTGCGAGTAAAACCCGATACTTTAAAAATTCAAAATAAATATTTCTACTCGTCGTATTCATACGAAACTTTCTACACTAAAGCGCTTGAATACAAGGAGTATTTTACACATATAGCCTTTCAGAAAATGATGAAAAGTTTAGAAGATGTTCAACTTTTCTCTTTTTCTCGTGTGAATGTTTGGCAAAGCGGTGAGTATAAATATATGATTGTTTCGGTTTGTGTAATGTTTTGATGGCACTTGACCTCCTGTTCGAAAGGTTATTTTGTGAGCATTACAATTGTGGGTTTTGTTTTAAAGGGGAGTAAATACTCGCCGCGATATTTACATTAGAAAAATTGAATCATAATGTAATACGAAACTACTTGTCAACAAGGAGTTAAAAATGTTAGCTCCAATCTTTTTTGTATCAATAATAACATTTTGCATCTATATGAACTTATGTGATTTGAACTGGTCTGCTTATTTACTAACCTGACTTGAATTGATCCCACTTTGCTATTTGTCATTCTTTTCTTTCAACTCCATTGCCATCTGGATTGTCACACAAATGTTTAAACAATTCCTCATCTTCTTTCCTGTGTGTGGTTTTTGAGCGACCAGCTTTCTTCTTTTTATTCACACTTGACACAGTTGGCACCGCATTCTGAGATGAACTGTTATTTAAATGACTTGAGTCACTTGAGCAAACCTCTAAACTTGTACATGCAACTTGCATTAGCACCTCATGCACATGAACTACTTCAACTTCAAAGACCTTCACTAAAACGAAAAAAATAACTGGACTATAAGAACAGCTTATTTGAGGGGTTGCTCATGTATTGGGTGGTTGTAGGTGATTTTGTGAATTGACTCCAAGAAGCTGATAAACTTACCTGACACCTGTTATAAACATTGTTTGTATTGCTAAGTTATTGAACTTTTATGCAATATGACATATTGTCGTCATTGAGTCGCACTATAAATGTCACTATTTTTATGTATTAAAATATTAACTATTAAATATGGCCCACATGTATGAGTTTATATATGAGAGAGTCCATGTTAGTAAAAAACTAAAGTACCAAATAAATTATCCTCAGAATAAATATTCAATGGATTTTCTTTAAGGGATTTTTCCACAGCCACAGACATGGGAATTAATATATGATTATTATTTCATGCTGGTACAGCATATTATTAACCTTAAAATATCTGTTTCCTTCCATTCCTCTTCAATCTGTGTTTTTACCTTCCTGTAAAAGTCCCGTTTTTCTATCTTCTTGCTGGAGTTGCAATTCTGGAACAGAAACTAAAGCTTGAGCCAAAGGAACCGGACATATTTTCTGAAATTGCAGGTTAATTTGTACATACAGTTCCCTACCTGTCTTGGTCACCTCTCCCTTTTTGCATTTCACCTTTGCCTTTGATTCACCCACATCATTAGCGGGTTTGTGTTGCCATTGCAAAGCTATTATTGTTTTGGCAATTGCTAAATTGCTTGGACTTGACAGGAAACAAAGACTGCTCATACCTGTATCTGTAAGAACATCCACAGCGCTCCTGTAAACTATGTTGTCAGTTCAAGTGAGGCCAAAAGCTACTGTTAAAAGTAAAGTAAAGTCTGACTTAGGCGGCAAATTTTATTGTAAAACTATAAAAATGTAAAAAGTTTTAAAAAAGTTTAAAAACGTTTTTAAACTTTTTATATTTTTATAGTTTTACAATAAAGTTTGCCACCTAAGTTAGACTTTACTTCTAACAGTAGCTTTTGGCCTCACTTGAACCAACAACATTCATATAATTCCATTTAACAAACTCTGTATGGAGATCTTGAAACCTTTCTGAAAAGTCGCAAAGTTAATTGAGTAGTTCTCTTTGCACTCACTGAAAGCTTGAATAAAATTTTCGTAGTGCAACCTTGAAATTTGCAAGTGACATTTTTGTAATGCATAGCTACCATTCTGTGGTTGCGTTGAAATTAACAATCGCTTAATATAATTAGATATTAACAATATTACATAATTAAGAAAACTATAAACAAGATTAGGAGGGCGTGTTTTGGGATTGATCTTTTTTGCTCTTGACTGCAAGCGAAAGGCGAATTTTGAACTGTTACTTGTGATTGCAAGTGAAAGATTGATTGTTCGACTTTCTTTATTACTTTAATATTATGTTATGTATAAGATATATAAGTAATTTCTTGTTTATATCTGTATTTACTATAGAAAACCTATTGCTATACTATTCGTATAAAGATTTAACCCATTGAGTGGCGATGCACCCTACTTTAGTATTTTACTCTGTCTAACGCCAGAGTATTTTACTGTCAAATGCCAGACGATTTTACTCGTCAAGGGGAGAACGCTGGCGCTTAATGGTTAATATTGAATTATTGTCGAAGAAATTTATTGCGTATTGCTGAATTGAGAAGGGAGAGAAAGGGGTTGAGGTATACGTATCAAATTTATGATTTAGAGTGAATTTTGAATTAAAGCTAACACAGGTTAGCAAGGATGGCCATTTCCAAGTAGCACTTCCGTGGCGAAAGAAACCTGTGGTGATCCCAAATAATAGACCAATGGCTGACAAACGTCTTCATTTGTTAAAACGTCGATTGCAGAAGAATAGTGAGTTATTTGTCAAGTATAAGGACGCTATGCAAGATTATATTGACAAGGGGCACTCCGAAAGGGTACCAGAAGAAGAGCTGGAAGTGAACAATGGCAAAATATGGTACTTACCTCACCAACCAGTCACACATCGCCTGAAACCAGAGAAAGTAAGGGTTGTATTTGACTGTGCTGCAAAGTATAAAGACCAATCCCTGAATATGCAGTTATTACAAGGTCCTGACTTAACAAATAACCTGGCTGGCGTCCTGATACGTTTCCAAGCAGGTTCCATTGCTCTTGTCGCGGACATTGAGTCCATGTTTTACCAGGTGTTCATGGATCCTGACGATTGCAACGTATTCAGATTCCTTTGGTGGGAAAACGGCTATTTGAAAGAAGAGCCGACCGAGTATCGTATGGTGAAGCAACTATCATATGGTCTTCGGGGCAACATCGTCGCCCAGCTGTGCGAATTTCTGCTTGAAGAAAACCACTTCGATCTTTAGAGGAGAGTTTAACAAAGAAGTGTTGGAGACGATCGATAGAAACACGTATGTCGATGACTTAATGAAATTTGTGAACGGTGCAGAAAGAGCAATTGTTCTCGCTAAGCAACTACGAGAGCTGTTACAGAAAGGAGGCTTTAGATTAACCAAGTGGCTAAGTAATAATCGCGACGTCTTAGCGACAATACCAGAGTACGAGCGAGCGAAGTCTGTAGTTAACTTGGACATAGAGGATTTACCAACAGAGTCGGCTCTTGAGCTTAAATGGAATGTCGAAGAAGATGCATTCGTTTGGGAGCTTGACAGTGAAGCTTTAGTTCGGGCACAAAGAAAAGCGTTCACTAGACATGGGGTCTTAGTTGTAGTGTCATCTCTTTTCGATCCACTTGGTATGATAGCACCGTTTGTTATGAAAGCCAAGCTTTTACTCCAAGAATTATGTCGCAGAAAACTAGAATGGGATGAAGAAATTAATGAATTTGAAAAGAAACAGTGGTTACGTTGGTTAAGCGACTTATCGAAATTAAAGGAGGTGAAAATTTGATGGTGTTTCAAGCCCGATGGCTTTGGTGAAACCCAGACTGTGGAACTGCATCTCTTTTCCAACGGATCCAGAGACGGGTATGGAGCAGTGGCTAATCTTAGGCTTATCGATGATAGAGATCGCATTCATTGTTCCTTTGATCTTGGAAGAGCTCGAGTAGCACCCATTCACAAAATTACAATTCCGTGTTTAGAATTATCCATGGCTGTTGTGTCTGTTCAGCTTCAAGAGACGACACAGAGCGAGTTGGACATGAGACTTGATCGTGTGATGTTTTGGTCTGACTCTATGTCAGTGCTGAAGTGCATAAGAAACGAAACGTTTCCATACATTCAAGTTCAATCGCCTTACTATCATTCATAATGGATCAAACGTTTCAGAGTGGAGATATGTTAAGAACAAAGAGAATCCAGCGGATGATGCTTCTAGAGGGCTGAAGTTGGATGCGTTACTGCAAAAGGAAAGGTGGTTACAGGGTCCGACGTTTCTATGGAAGAGCGAAAGTGAATGGCCTGCTACTGTTGAAGTACCAAATTTAAGCGACGATGATCCTGAAGTGAGACAGGGTGCAACTTTTTACACCACCGCAACTAGTGAAAGAATCCTGGAGTCTTTAGTTCAAAGATACTCGACTTGGTGGGGATTGGTGAGAGCATTCGCTTGGATATCGAGATTTAAAGATTATTTGAGGATGAAAGTTTCCAATAAAAACAGTGAGTCTGGAGTGGCAGGAAAGACGGAACTGAAAGTTGGGAATTTGAAAGTTGATGGGGTGAAGGCAGCTGAGCGAAATATTGTTCATTACGTACAACACACATGATTTCCTGAGATCATTACCGCGCTGCAAGAAGGAGTATCAAGAAGGAGTATCCAAAATGGGTAACGGACATATCAAGCGAAATCTGCAAAACATTGGGAGCTCTCTATACCAGCTCAACCCAACATTACACGACAGATTGATAGTTGTAGGGGGACGGCTTGAGTTTGCAAACATCAGCGAAGAAGCAAAGCATCCAATGGTTCTACCAACCGAACATCATGTTACTGACCTGATAATAAGACATTATCACACAGTAGTTGGGCACCTGGGACAAGAATCTGTTCTAGCATGTCTTAGAGAGAAATTTTGGGTCTTGAAGGGGAGAGCAGCTGCGAGATACATTCCTGTGTGGATTGCCAAAAGAGGAAGAAGCCGACATGTGAGCAGTTTATGGCAGACTTGCCACATGATAGAGTGACAGCTTATGAACCACTGTTTACGTCTGTTGGTGTCGATTATTTTAGTCCAATTGAAGTAAAACAAGGCAGATGTCATGTTAAACGTTATGGTTGCATATTTAAGTGCTTGAACACTAGTGCGCTGCATATCAAGATTGCACATTCTCTCAACACGGGCTCGATGCTTAACATGTTGATATGTTTTGTGAGTTTAACCCATTGAGTCGCATTGCACCCTGATGCACCCTACTTTAGTATTTTACTCGTCAAGGGGAGAGTGCTGGCGTTTAATGGGCCTATCTGCCCATGTGTCTAGTTAACCCATTGAGTCACATTGCACCCTACTTTAGTATTTTACTCTGTCTAACGCCAGACGATTTTACTCGTCAAGGGGAGAGCGCTGGTGCTTAATGGGTTAACTGGCCTATCTGCCCATGTGTCTAGTTAAACCATTGAGTCGCATTGCACCCTACTTTAGTATTTTACTCTAACGCCAGAGTATTTTACTGTCTAACGCCAGACGATTTTACTCTTCAAGGGGAGAGCGCTGGTGCTTAATGGGTTAAGGGGATGTCCACGAGAGATCCGTAGTGATAATGGTACCAACTTTAAGAAAGCTGACAAAGAATTAAAAGCCAGCATAGACGAATGGAACCACTCAAACATTGAGAATTTCTGTGCACAAAGAGGAATTAATTGGGTATTTAATCCCCAGGAGCAAGCCACATGGGAGGAGTGTGGGAAAGGATGATCAGGTCCGTGCTTCAGATCTTAAGAGCATTGTTGAAGGAGCAGGTTGTTTGTGACGAGGTGCTTTCCACAATCATTGGCGAAGTTGCGAATATACTCAACGGTAGACCACTTACAAGAAACAGTGACGACCCAAGAGATTCGGACCCCGACACCAAATCACCTTCTACATCTACGACCTTGTCCTTCTTTACCACCCGGCATGTTTGGGAATGATGACAAGACTATGCGGTGTCAGTGGAGACAAGCACAATTTCTAATCAATCTGTTTTGGAAAAGATGGATCAAGGAGTACCTTCCATCGTTACAAAGGAGATAAAAATGGACGAACTTCGGGATAACTTAAAGATCGATGACGTCGTACTTTTGGCCTATGAGAATTATCCGAGAGGGCAATGGCTGTTAGCTCAAGTGCTAGAAGTGATTAAAGGAAATGATGGAATGGTTCGTAGTGCCAACAGAAAGACGTGTTCGACAATAGTGACACGTGCAAAACGGAAGCGTCGAGGAGAAGTGAAGACAACAACTGCTATCTTGGAACGCCCGATCACGAAGCTGTGTCGTCTGGAGATGGACAACATTTGAA